CGGCCCCATGGACTTGTGCATGTCCAGTTTTTCTAAATAGTCCCGAACCACTTCTTTCTCCACAGAGGGCTGGTCACCTTCTCCCCATACTGTGCTGCCCAGTGCAGCAGTCTGGGAGCTGACCTTGTTCGTGAAGACGGAGGCAAAAAAAGCATTGAGTACATTAGCTTTTTCCACATCCTCGGTCACTAGGTTGCCTCCCTCGTTCAGTAAGGGGCCCACACTTTCCTTGACCTTCTTCTTGTTGCTAACATACCTGAAGAAACCCTTCTTGTTACTCTGAACATCTCTTGCTAGCTGCAACTCCAAGTGTGATTTGGCCTTCCTGATTTCACTCCTGCATGCCTGAGCAATAGTTTTATACTCCTCCCTGGTCATTTGTCCAATCTTCCACTTCTTGTAAGCTTCTTTTTTGCGTTTAAGATCAGCAAGGATTTCACTGTTAAGCCAAGCTGGTCGCCTGCCATATTTACTATTCTTTCTACACATCGGGATGGTTTGTTCCTGCAACGGCAATAAGGATTCTTTAAAATACAGCCAGCTCTCCTGGACTCCTTTCCCCCTCATGTTATTCTCCCAGGGGATCCTGCCCATCTGTTCCCTGAGGGAGTCAAAATCTGCTTTTCTGAAGTCCAGGGTCCGTATTCTGCTGCTCTCCTTTCTTCCTTGTGTCAGGATCCTGAACTCGACCATCTCATGGTCACTGCCTCCCAGGTTCCCATCCACTTTTGCTTCCCCTACTAATTCTTCCCGGTTTGTGAGCAGCAGGGTGTCACGGAGTAAGGGGGAGTCAGGGCCCCGCACCCCTCTTCCTGAGATTCACTGTGACGCTCAACCAGCCAGTAAAACAGAAGGTTTATTAGATGACAGGAATACAGTCTCACGCAGAGCGTGTAGGTACGACCAGAACCCCTCAATTAGGCCCTTCTGGGAGGTTCAGGGAGCTTAGACCCCAGCTCGGGGTTCCCTGCGTTGCACCACCCAGCCCAGCACTGAGAAAAACTCCTCACTCTTCCAGCAGCTCCTCTCTTCCCCCTCCCCCCAGCTCCTCCTCTCCTTTGTTCAGTCTCCAGGGCAGAAGGTGTTATTTCTCCCAACCCCCCTCCTGGCTCAGGTTACAGCTCAGGTAGCTTCCTTCAAGGGAAGTCCCCCATCCCCAATGCAACCCCCCTGCAACCTTCCCAGGTCAAATCTGCCCCGCTCCCTGCTCCGTCACACAGGGTAACAAGTGGTGTCCCCCAAGGGTCAGTGCTCGGACCAATCCTATTCAACTTATTCATAAATGATCTGGAGAAAGGGGTAAACAGTGAGGTGGCGAAGTTTGCAGATGATACTAAACTGCTCAAGATAGTTAAGACCAAAGCAGACTGTGAAGAACTTCAAAAAGCTCTCACAAAACTAAGTGATTGGGCAACAAAATGGCAAATGACATTTAATGTGGATGAATGTAAAGTAATGCACATTGGAAAAAATAACCCCAACTATACATACAACATGATGGGGGCTAATTTAGCTACAACAAGTCAGGAAAGAGATCTTGGAGTCATCGTGGATAGTTCTCTGAAGACGTCCACGCAGTGTGCAGAGGCGGTCAAAAAAGCAAACAGGATGTTAGGAATCATTAAAAAGGGGATAGAGAATAAGACGGAGAATATCTTATTGCCCTTATATAAATCGATGGTACGCCCACATCTCGAATACTGCGTACAGATGTGGTCTCCTCATCTAAAAAAAGATATACTGGCACTAGAAAAGGTTCAGAGAAGGGCAACTAAAATGATGAGGGGTTTGGAACGGGTCCCATATGAGGAGAGATTAAAGAGGCTAGGACTCTTCAGCTTGGAAAAGAGGAGACTAAGGGGGGATATGATAGAGGTCTATAAAATCATGAGTGATGTGGAGAAAGTGAATAAGGAAAAGTTATTTACTTGTTCCCATAATACAAGAACTAGGGATCACCAAATGAAAGTAATGGGCAGCAGGTTTAAAACAAATAAAAGGAAGTTCTTCTTCACACAGCGCACAGTCAACCTGTGGAACTCCTTGCCTGAGGAGGTTGTGAAGGCTAGGACTATAACAGAGTTTAAAAGAGAACTGGATAAATTCATGGCGGTTAAGTCCATTAATGGCTATTAGCGAGGATGGGTGAGGAATGGTGTCCCTAGCCTCTGTCTGTCAGAGGGTGGAGATGGATGGCAGGAGAGAGATCACTTGATCATTGCCTGTGAGGTTCACTCCCTCTGGGGCACCTGGCATTGGCCACTGTCGGCAGACAGGATACTGGGCTGTTCCAACGGAGTATGGGGGGACTCAGGGCCCTGCACCCCCGGCGTCCTGCGATTCACCATGACTCTCAGCCAGCCAGTAAAGCAGAAGGTTTATTTAGATGACAGGAATACAGTCCAAGACAGGCCTTGCAGGCACAGACAACAGGATACCCCACAGTTAGGTCCATCTTGGGGTCCTTGGGCACCCCAGCCCACCTCCTGGGGTCAGAGCCCTCCCTGCCTTCCAGCCCCCTCACCAGCCCGCTTCCCAGACTCTGCCTTCAGCGACCCCTCCCCCAGCCTTTGTTCAGTCTCTGGGGCAAAGGTGTCACCTGGTCCCAGCCCCCTGCTGGGTTCTAGTGTTACAGGCTCAGGTATTTTCAGTCAGTCTCCCATCCCCCAAGGCCGACCATCCCAGCCACACTCCCCTGTCAGCATTCACAGACCACAGTAAGAACAGACCCAGTTCGTCACAGCTAGATGGACCCTTGTCTGACCCAGTCCGGCCGTTCTTATGTTCCCTCCCTCACATCCGAATCTCGCCCTGCAGGGCGCCTGATCTTCGACAACCTGAAGAAATCCATCGCCTACACACTGACCAGCAACATCCCCGAGATCACCCCCTTCCTGCTCTTCATCATGGCCAACATCCCGCTGCCCCTCGGCACCATCACCATCCTCTGCATTGACCTGGGCACCGACATGGTGAGCCCCCCCGGGCGCCCCCCCCCCCCGGGCACCCCCTCCCTCTCTGCACCGCCCCCACCGGGCAGGTGCCGACTACACCAGCCTTGCAATAATGTCAGGTGTGATTTCGGGGGGGTGGACTCACCCCACGTATCGCCCCCTTTGCTGCTCAGCCCCACCCAATCTGCACTGGGGCAGGCCCAGCCTCTAACCCCCTCCCCCTCTCCCCAGGTCCCCGCCATCTCCCTGGCCTACGAAGCCGCCGAGAGTGACATCATGAAGCGCCAGCCTCGAAACCCCCGGACGGACAAACTGGTGAACGAGAGGCTGATTAGCATGGCCTACGGGCAGATCGGTGAGGGGCGGGGCCTGGGGATAGATCGGTGAGAGGCGGGGCCTACAGGCAGATCGGTGAGGGGCGGGGCCTGAGAGGGGGGTGGGGCCTGGGGGCAGGTTGGTGAGTTGGGGGATGGGATCACTCGAGGTGAAAGGCCTGGGTGGGGTGTGGAGGGCATGTCGCTACCTACCCTTCTGCTGCCCTCCTCCCCTCTGCCCCCCGGCTCACCTTCCCTGTCCCCCTGCCCCCCCCAGCTAACCCCCCTCCCTGCCCCCTGCTCTCCCCAGCTAACCCCCCCCCCCGCCCCCCCCCCCACCCCCCCCCCCCGCCCCCTGCCCCCCCCAGCTAACCCCGTCTCTGCCCCCAGGGATGATCCAGGCGTTGGGTGGGTTTTTCGCCTACTTTGTGATCCTCGCCGAGAACGGGTTCCTGCCCTCGGGGCTGGTCGGGATCCGGCTGAACTGGGACGACCGGACTGTGAACGACTTGGAGGACAGCTACGGGCAGCAGTGGGTGAGCACGGGACAGGGCGGGGGGGGCCTGGGGGCCACCACCCCTGGGAGCTCCCCACCAGGGGCCCTGGGACAGATCTGGGGTGCAGCCTGGACTGTGGGACACTGTCCCCTTCTACTCTCCGGCTCAGGGTCCCTCTCACCCAGCTCTGCCCCCGGCTTCGCTCCCAGCCAGCAGCGTGTGAAGGTTACACGCAGCCTCGCACGAGCGGAACCCGAGGAGGCACCAGCAAATCCCCCAGCCCCGGCCTTGCACCCCACAAATGTCCCGTCTCACACGGCTCGAGACCCTCCCGAACAGGGCAAGCGCATTCGTTCCTTCGCCCCTTCGGCCGCGCCCCAGCCCCGTAACCCAGCCCTGCCGACAGACGCGCTGCCCCGGGTGGATCTTACGGGCGTGCTGGGCACAGAGCTCCGAGTTGGTTACATACGAAATAAAAGGTAAAACCGGAGTCTAAATTCTGAGCTTTATCCGACTAGGCAAGATTTGAACCAAGCCCAGGCAGTTCACAGCTCTTCACACACCGCTGGATCCCGGCCCAGAGTCTTTTCTCCCAAACGTGGGCGCAGGTGGGGCAGGAGGGGGGCGGGCGCATGGGCCACGGCCCCTTTTCCCCTCTCAGTTCGTGAGCCGGGGCAAATAGTGGCTGAGACTTGGAGTCAGGCTTCTCTGCTGGGCTGGCTTCCATGGGGCCCCCGCTCCCAGCCCCCACGCGGCTTCACCCAGATTGGCCAGGGTGTGCGAGTGTCCAGCTGTCCTCGGCCCCTGCCAGGGCTGGTTGTGTTTCACACACACTCTCCAGCGGGGGAGGGGGCGGGGTGCGTCGGACACACACAGCCCTGACATTGTTGCAAAAGTGAGCTAATCGGCACCTGACTGCAATGGCTGGGGGGGGCAGTTTTTTGGGGGGGGGCTGGTGCTGACACTCTCCCCCTCTTCCCCCTCCCAGACGTACGAGCAGCGCAAGGTGGTGGAGTTCACCTGCCACACGTCCTTCTTCGTCAGCATCGTGGTGGTGCAATGGGCTGATCTGATCATCTGCAAAACCAGGAGAAACTCAGTGTTCCAGCAGGGCATGAAGTGAGACAGGCGCTGGGCTGGGTGGGCTGCGGGTCGGGAGTGAGGGGCACCGGCAGAGCTGAGGGACAGGACTGGACTGGCAGGAGCTGCGGGTCGGGAGTGAGGGGCACCGACAGGGCTGGGGGGGGCAGGGCTGGGCTGGCAGGGGGCTGCGGGTCGGGAGTGAGGGGCACCGCGGGCGCTGTTTCATTCTATCTCTCTCAGGAACAAGATCCTGATTTTCGGGCTCTTTGAGGAGACAGCGCTGGCCGCCTTCCTGTCCTACTGCCCCGGCATGGATGTGGCGCTGCGGATGTACCCCCTGAAGTGAGTGCGGGGGTGGAGGGACCCCGCTGGGGGTGCCCCTGTTTCCCCAGGGGGATCCAGGGGGCCACGGCCCTCCAGTGTTAACAAAAGAAACACGCAGAATTCACGTCCCCCACAGAGCGATCGATTCTGCCGGCGAGACAGTGCTGCAATTGCACCTTTCACCCACCAGGGGCTGCTGTGGGGCCAGCAGAGAGGGAGGGGGTCGTTGGCCTTGGGGGGATCCCTGGTGCAGGGGGTGAGGGGCTGCAACCCGTGGGGGGGATTGACCCAAGGGGAGGTGCCTTTGCTGCCCTTCAACGTGGGGATCCTGCACTGGGGAAGGGGGAGGATACCTGAGGGGGCGTCCTGGTGGGAGGGGTTCCCTGCAGCCTTCGGGGGGGGTCCTGGCCGGGAGAGGGTCTCTGCAGCCCTGGGGGGGGGTGGGTGTCCTGGCCGGGGGAGGTGCCAGCCCTGGGAGCCAGCAGCAATCTCCTTGCGTCTGCCGGGCAGGGTGCAGCGTCCCCACACTGCTGGCACTAACCCCCCCCCCGGTTCTGTCCCATCCAGGCCCAGCTGGTGGTTCTGTGCCTTCCCATACAGCTTCCTCATCTTCGTGTACGACGAGATCCGGAAACTCATCCTGCGCCGGAACCCCGGAGGTGGGGGCCGACTTGGGGGGCTGATGGGGGGAGGTAGAAGGGGGCTGGAGGGATATGAAGGAGACGGGGGAGGGGTAAGGAAGATGGGGGAGGGTGGGGCGATATGTGGAGGGAGGTGCCAAACGGGGGTGTCCTTGCCTAGCATTAACCCCCCCCCTCTCTGTCACAGGCTGGGTCGAGAAGGAAACCTACTACTGAGCCCCCCCCCCCCCCCCCCCCCCCCCCCCCCCCCCGGCCGGGGGGCCCCCCGGCCCGGGGGAAGGGACCCGGCCCCCCCCCACGTGGCTGAGAACGGGAAACTGTCCCCGCCCCCCCCCCCGCCTGGGGGGGTTTATTTATTGTGTCACCAACATCCCCCCACCGCTGGGACCGAACCCAGGATCCCCAGAGCTAAGGGGGGGCTGGGAGCAGTCGGGGGGGCTCTTGTCCAGTGTGGGGTAGACAGTCACGGGAGATACAGACCCCCCTGGTCACACAGGTCTCCTGTCTTCTCCCCCCAGGGCATGCGTGTGTCGTCCCCCCCCGCACACAGATTCCCCATCTTCCTCCCCCCCAGGTCACCCCCTTCTCCATTCCCAGTGGGGCATGGGGGGCAGAAGCCAGCCCCCAGCCCCAGACTGGGGGGGCATACTCGGGGGAGTCAGCAGAGCACCAGGGAGGGGTTGTGGAATAGAACCCAGGAGTCCTAATCCCCCCCCCCCCCCCCCCCTTCCCCCCTCCCCCCGCCCCCCCCCCCCCCCTTCCGGCCTTGGGGCCCCCCCCTGCCCCCCCGCCCCCCCCCCCGACCCCAGGGCCATGTCTGAGGGGTTGGGGGATCCTGCGGCTGCCCTTTGACCCCAGATTCCAGGTTATGGACCAAGGGAAACCAGGGCCTCATCCGTGTGTGTGGGGGGTCCCTATGGCTGGGGGGAGGCAGAGGGGTTTGTCCCTCCCACCCCCAGTGTCCATGGGGAGGGGGTGTTGTGCTCGCTCCCCCTCCCCCGCCCTGTGTGTGCTGGGGGGGCCTTACCCCCCCCCACCCCCGTTTGGGGATCGTGTCGTCATGTGACAAAAACAAACTCAATTTAACAAATAAAACCAAACCCAGCCCCGGACCCTGTACCGTGCGTTGTGACGGGGGGGGGCAGGGCTGAGAGCGGGGGGTCCCAGCGGGGGGGGCGGGGACCAGGCCGAAGGGCCGGTGGAACTCCCTGCCACTGGACATGGCAGAGCCGGCGCTGGCCCCTGGGAACAGGGGAGCGGGAGGCTGGAGCTGGCCAGGCCAAAAGCTTGAGTGTGTGTGTGTGTGTGTGTGTCAGTCACTGCATGATTTTCCCCCCCCCCGGCTCCTCCCAGCTCGTCCCGGCTTCCCCCACCCCAGTGACGCAGTGCCACTGTCAGGATTTGGCTCTGATTGGTGCCTGCGGGGGGTGAAAGGGGGGCCATTGTTATGGCAACCAGCTGATGGCTGTTGCCATGGTGACAGAGGATGACTGTTACTGACGTTGTTGGGCAGGGCCTGGGGGAGCCTGAGAATGAGGCCGCAGCGTCCCCGCCCCCAGCGCTGGGATAGAACCCAGGCGTCCTGGCTCCCAGCCCCCACCCCACGGACTGCGGGTTGGGGGTGAGGAGCTTTAACTCTGCCCGTCCCTGGGGGCTGCTCTGGGGGCCCCGGCTCAGACCAGTGGAGCTGGGGGGGGTGTCCATGCCCGCCGAGGGGCCGCAGCCAGCAACCCCCAAATCCTCCCGCGGGGGCGTGAGTGGGGGCCTGGGGGCTCCCTGCAGTGCTCAGGGCTGCTGGGGGCCCACTGAGCCCCCAGGTCCCCCTGCCCCCTCGCTGGGGGTTGCGCTCTGGCTCCCACGCATGGGGATCGGGAGGCGCCCGGACCTGGGCCAGTCGAGGGGGGCACGGGTGTCACGGAGTATGGGGGGACTCAGGGCCCTGCACCCCCGGCGTCCT